GTGAGGCAAGAAGCCACCTATTTAAGAACTGACTCCCCTTGCGGTGGGGTTGGGATGTCTATTTATATACTGCATGTGCTGAGTGAGGGTCCTGGCTATTGGAAGGGCTCCCTGAATCTTCACAGCAAGTGGAGTTCACAGGATGGCAGGGCCAGAGCATGAAGCTGTCTCTGAGTCCCTACTCTATAGCTGGGCTCATGGCCTGGCTGCTGCCATCTCCCATGGCTTGGCTCCTCACCTGGCTCACTCTCCTTGCATACACTGTGGTGGGTGAGTGCATTGACTTGTTCCTCTCTATGGCTGTCTGGCACTTTGGGTCTCTGGGCAGTGATGTGGGAGTGGAGGGAGGAGTTTGGCTGCTGGCCTGCCTGCTAATGGCAATATCATTCTGTATTGGGCAAGTGTTCAGCAGAAGAAATGTATCTGCAGGTCCTGGTGGAACTGGCAATGAAATGACTAAGCCAGTATCCATCATATTTGGAGGCATGTGGAGGCACGTGAAGGACAGGGAGGTAATCCTAGGTAGGCAGCATGAATTTACTAGGGGTAAGTCCTGCCTGACCAACCTGGTGGCCTTCTGCAATGAAGTGACTGTATCAGTCGACAAGGAAAGACCTATGGATGTTGTCTATCTGGATTTCTGCAAGGCCTTTGACACATTTTCCCACAACATCCTAATCTCTGAATTGGGGAATTACAGGTTCGATGGGTGGACTATTCAGTGGATAAAGAACTAGCTGGATGGTCATATCCAGAGAGTGATGGTCAATGGCTCAGTGTCTAGATGGAGGATGGTGTCCCTCAGGGGTCTGTGCTGGGACCATTGTTGTTTAATATCTTCATTAATGATGTTGACAGCAGCACTGAGTGCACCCTCAGCAAGTTTGTGGATGATATCAAACTGGGAGGTGCAGTTGATATGCCAAAGGGACGGGATGCCATCCAGATGGTCCTGGATAGGCTGGAGAGGTGGACCCAGATGAGCCTTATGAGGTTTGACAAGGCCAAGTGCAGGGTCCTGCATCTGGGCTGGGGTAACCAGCACTATCAGTATAGGCTGGGAGAGAACACGTAGGCTGGGAGATAACACGCTGGAGAGCAGTCCTGGGGAAAGGGACTTGGGAGTGCTGGTGGACAGAAAAACTGGGCATGAGCCATCAATGTGCAATCGCAGCCCAGAAGGCAAATCACATCCTCAGTTGCATCAAAAGAAGTGTGGCCAGCAGGTCAAGAGAGGTGATTCTGCCACTCTACTCTTCCCCGGTGAGACCTCACCTGGAATACCGAGTCAGTTCTGGAGCCCCCAGTACAAGAAGGACATAGACATATTGGAGCAATTCCAGAGGAGGGCCACCAAAATGATCCAGGGATTGGAGCAGCTCTGCTGTGAGGACAGGCTGAGGGAGTTGGGGCTGTTCAGCCTGGAGAAGAGAAGGCTCTGGGGGGACCTTACAGTGACCTTCCAGTACCTGAAGAGAGCCTACATGCAGGTGGGGGGAGGCCTATTCAAAAGGGTTTGTAATGATAGGACAAGGAGTAATGGTTTTAAACTAGGAAAGGATAGATTTAGACTGGATATTAGAAAACACTTCTTTAATACAAAAGTGATAGTTCACTGGAATGGGCTGCCCAGAAGAGGTAGTGAAGGCCCTATCCCTGGAATCATTCAGGGTCACACTTGCTAGGGCTCTGGGTGACCTGACCTAGGTAGAGAGGTCCCTCCTTTTGTAGGGAGGTTGGACCAGATGAACTCTAGATGTCCCTTCCAGCCTAACAGATTCTATGATTCTGTATTTAGAATCATACAGTCAAGTAAAGTGAAGTTCCCAGTGACTGGAAAGGGGAAACATAAACCCCATTTTCAGAAAGGGAAAAAAAGGAAGAGCTACAGATCAGTCAGTCTCATCTCTGTGCCTGAGAAGATCATGGATCAAATCCTCCTGAAAACTGTGCTAAGACACATGCAAAATAAGGAGGTGATTGGTGACAGCCAGAATGGCCTCACTAAGGGCAAGTCTTGCCTGATAAAGCTGGTGGCCTTCTGTGATGTGGGGACAACATTGATGGGTAGGGAAGAAGCAACTGATGTCATCTACCTGGACTTGTGTGGGTTGATATATGGATAAAGAATTGACTGGATGGTCACACTCAGAGAGTTGCGGTCAATGGCTCAATGTCCAAGTGGAGAGCAGTGAGGAGTGGTGTTCCTCAGGGGCTGGTATGGAGACCAGCACTGGTTTAACATCTTTGTTCACAACATGAACATGAGTGCATCCTCAGCAAGTTTGCGGACACCACCAAGCTGTGTAGAGTTTGACACTGGAGGGAAGGAGTGCCATCCAGAGGGACACTGCCAGGTTGGAGAGGTGGGCCCATGTGAACCTCCTGAAGCTCAACAAGACTGACTGGAAGGTCCTGCACCTGGGATGGGTCAATCTGGAGCACAGATACAGACTGGGTGATAAGTGTATTGAGAGCAGCCCTGCAGAGAAAGACTTGGGGGTGTTGGTTGAAGAGAAGCTCAATGTGCGCTTGCAGCCCAGGCCAACAATATCCTGGGCTGAATCAAGAGAGGCACTGCCAGCAAGATCACAAATGTGATTTTCCTCCTCTATTCTGCTCTTGTGAGACCCCACTTGGAGTACTGTGTTCAGCTCTGGGGTCCCCAACATAAGAAAGACATGGACCTGTTGGAGTGAGTTCGGAAGAGGGCTGGAGCACCACCTATGAGGACAGGCTGAGAGAGTCGGGGTTGTTCAGCCTGGAGAAGAGAAGACTCCAGGGAGACTTTATAGCAGCTTTCCAGTACCTAAAGTGGGCCTACAGGAAAGCTGGAGAGGGACTTTGTACAAGAGCAGGCAGTGGTAGGACAAGGGGTAGTGGCTTCAGACTGGATGAGGGTAGATTCAGATTAGAGGTAGGGAAGAAATTCTTCACTGTGAGGGTGGTGAGGCCCTGGAACAGGTTGCCCAGAGAAGATGTGAATGCCCCATACCTGGAAGTGTTCAAGGCCAGGCTGGATGGGGCTTTGAGCAACCTGGTCTAGTGGAAGGAGTCCTTGCCAATGGTGGGGGGGGCTGGAACTAGATATCTTTAGTGTCCCTTCCAGCTCCAACCGTTCTATGATTCTAGGTTTTGAACTGTGGGTATAGATCAAGGGCAATTAACTGCAAAGTGTAATTTCCAAACAGTAGATTGGATAAATGATATATCACTAGGAAATGCTCTGTGATAAGGGAGCATTTTAAACCAGCTTGTTTTGTGAATAATACCAGCCAAATTATACATCGTTAATTACATCAAAATATGTGAAATTAAATCACTTCAATGAGAATTCAATTATAACCTTTCTAAGGGATGATTTTGCCATATAGACTTTTGTTAGAAAATAAAAGCAAGAAAATGAAGATAAGGACTTGCACATTTTGGTTTGCTCTGCATGAGAAATGTTACATATGTTTTAGTTGATACAATACCTAAAGCAGAAATGAAAATAGAGAAATAGAGCCTCTGACCCCCAGAAGTGATAAGGGTGGATAAATTATTACTCTGGTCTGTGTTCCCAAAATAGAGTTGAGTGAAATGTTATGAGCTCTTAGATGAGAAAATATTGAAATGTATTACTTTTGTTATCCCAAAACTGTAAAATCACTAACCTCTCACCAAGGGACTGCTTGAGGTACCTGAAATCAATAGTGGTGCCACCACTGACTGACCAATTTTGGTTTCCTTTTTGTAAGTGCTAAAACAAAGACCTTGGATATCATTAGGATCTGAAATAAAAAATACCCCTTGTACCATGGTTTCTGCTTCAGGATTTGAAGGGTCAGCCACAAAGAGCATACAATGGCCCTTGCCCAGCCCGTGTTTGGTGAACAGCCAGGCAGCAAGAGGCAGCTTTTGGATGCTTCAATGTGCTTTCTGTTGATGCTGCTACTTCTCAGAGCAACCATAGGGTCCACACCTGAAATCATATCTCTAGTCTAATCCATGCTGGTGTTTTGGTTGGGTCAAGAGTGTGATTTTGAATCTGATCTTCTGATCTTCCTGACTTGTCCTGCCTTGGTGTCTAGCATGGCTGTCTGGGGGTGTGGATTTCTTGCAGAGGAAAGGAAGCTGTGGTGTGTTGGATCACATCTCATGCACTTCTACTCCTTGGAGCTCTTTTGTCCATGGGACTGGACTACAGCTAGTCTTAAGGCCTTAAAATATGCAGATCCTAAGCATTAGCTGTTCTGCCACACTGTCTACCAATGCAGAAATACTCTTGAGTGTAATTTTCACATCTGGTTGAAGTTGTTTCTATGTGTGGGTGTCAAAGGTATCCAACCCTTTCTAACTCAGCAGACATTTAAATACAGACTTAAGTGTAAACCTCTGCAAAAGTGGATGTGTTTGGGTTTAGGACTAGACTTCTGGATCTGTTTTAAGATTTAGAGTTGGTTATTCAGAGGTTAAAAGTCTTAGGGAGGTTTTTGGTGGGTTTTTCAGAAGGAGTGTTGCCACTCACACTGAATTAAAAATGTTTAAACATCCTTTAAGATGTGGACCTTGGGCACTGGCAGCTGAGCCAGCTGCAGAGCTGCATCACACTGCAAAGCTGTGGTGATGCAGGAACCTAGATGTCATAGGCTTTTGGTAAGAGCAGTAAGTCACTCAGGAGCAGACCCTCAAATATTCCATCACCTAACATGAGTTAAGTGCTTATGATATTCGGGAGCCTTTGAAAACTCCATTACCTGCATCTTCAGCTGCAAGGAGACCTCTACAGTCTGGCTTTATGATGCTTCACAGACCAATCTATAAATACCTTAAATACTGGGGCTACTGCCGAGGATACTTAAGTACATCAAATACTTTTTAACCTTACTAATTTTCACAGTTGGGAGCTTATATTAGAATAATTGGAAGCGTAAGACGGTTTGGGAAGGAATCATTTGTGTGCTGAAGAAAACTGCACAAGCATTACCTTTTAACAAATCTGTCCTGCTGTTTATCAGGTAAAGGAGATGTGTTTGGTGATATCTTCTGGAAAGAAACCAGCCTGGCTCACGCGTGTGCCAACGTGCGGGCTCTGACGTACTGCGACTTACATATTATTAAACGAGAAGCCTTGCTCAAAGTGTTGGACTTCTACACTGCTTTTGCAAACTCCTTCTCAAGGAACCTCACGCTCACCTGCAATTTGAGGAAACGGGTAAGGAAACAGCTCTTCTTCTTGCCTTCCTCCTGCCAAGTGATTGCATGCTTTTGCAGACTATTTGCAGTGTTTGGTGAGCCCCAATTTACTCTTGACGTTTTTGGGTCATTGCAGATTAACTGGCCTTTCAATAAATGTTGTCACTGTTTGTTAATGATGGCTCAATTAAAGTTACCAGTAGATGTGCAGCTCTCAGAAGCAGTCCTAGCAGGGCGATGTAGGAATTACATTTCTTCTCCTTTTCTTCACAGTTGTTGGGGTTTGGCTGCTTTCCCCGTTGCATAATGTATAAAGTTATATTTTATAGTCTGATAAGAGTCCAGGTTCTTGATTCCTCAGAGGTGAGATCTCTCACCTACTAAGTTATAGGTCCGTAGACAGTCTGATGGATCTGCTTTGCATATAGACCAACTAGGAGAAATTTATTGATGTTAAATAAATAAAATATACTCAGCAAAAGTATTGTATTAATACTTCCTTCTCTTACTTGCATAGTTCAGAATTTTAATATGGCAAGGTTAATAAAGCTTGGTAGTGATTTTACATTCACAGGTCTACTTCTTAAACCCTCCTGCTCATTTTATAATCAATCAGCAATGCTCACTATCCATTAGTCCTTTCAAAGAACACTCCATCTAAAAATTAATTAGCTATAAGGACATATCTTGAAAACAGGTTTAGGGATTCTTTATTCACACTGCAGCTGCAAAATTTAATCTGTATGATTTTTTTTTAAGATTGATGAGGGTTATATAAATTTCATTTGCATAGAGAAATTGCGTAACAATGATTTATAGATTATTGAGCATTAACTGGGATCCTCTGGCTGCTGTAACACATTTTTCTGCAGCTGTACCTTGGACATCTCACCTGAAAATGTAACAAGGCTACATCAGTATTTCACAAGACAACTTCAACCTCTTCAGTAGCAGGAGTACAATACAAGTAGAATTTTACTTTTCTGAATCTAGTTGATTTGTAGACAATACACTATCTCACAAATGCTTGTTTCAAACTCATATAATTTTTAGTGCATTCCCTGTGGCACAAACTACCCATGGCAAAAAGCAGATGCAGTGGGATTACAACCCCCTCTCTCTGTGCTGGAGCCTGAAAGAGCTGAATAATAATCAGGTTTGGTTCCAGCTTGTCAGCTTACCTCTTATTTTGAAGATTGTTAACTCTGTGTCAAACCTGAAGAAGGGCTTTGGGTCTTGAAAGCTAGTTTGGGGTTTCTAGCTTATTGCTTCTTTGTTGATAAGATGTCCTCCAGGCCTTGAGCATCCCGCACCTTGCCACCTCACCCTCTTGAGAGGTGCCAACAGCTGCAGTCCCCCAGTGACAATTCTGCTTAGGTGTTGCTGATGGTGATTTCACAGGACAACATAATGCCACATACATTGTGACAAAGTGTGTTCTTTCCTTCTTAAAACTGTGAATCTGTCACTTCAGCTAGCTTCCTGGGACTCCCCTTCCCCCATTAGCCATGACAAGGTGTACAGCAACAACATGCACATACCTTTTCCTGACAGGGAAATATGCTGTAGTTCAACTCTGTAGTCCAGGGATGTGTGTGGGATACAACCTCCTAGCTGGGTTTTTACAGTTTTTCTTACACACCTTTTTTTAAGGAAAATTGGTTCCCCTGCAGGGCTCTGGCATAAGAAGTCACCCGTGTGGAAACATTCATGGATCTCAGATCTCCAGTACATATACCTGCTTTTTAGCTCAGTGTTGGGTACATGGACCATGTGTGCAGTGACTCAAAGCAAGAAGGAACTTCTGAAGAAAAGTTACTGATTTTGCAGAAGGAGAAGTGTTGGCTGGGGGCATGTGTGGGCTTTACATGGGAGTGGATGGAGAGTCAATGAAAGGTTATGTCAATGGTGGTACACATGGGGTGGAGTTTATTCCACTAGAGGTTGGGTGATGATGTTCAAGCTAGTCAGCGGTCATCTTTATAACCCATGAGAAGTGGTTCCTCCAGAAGGCAATCATCTGGCCCTTCTTCAGTGCCTGCTCTGGGATGGGAAAACCATCCCCTTTCTATTGAGTTTTGAGTCCATGATCACTTTTAAGTGCCTAGGGTACCTCAAGTGAACTCCGCTTCTGATGTCTTCTACAGTTTAACTCAAGAACTGTTTTGTGAGAGTTCTTACTTCTAGTATTGGAGTAAGATGTGCATTGCAGAAATTCTGTGTATTGTTCCCAGGCACAAAATAAATCATTCTTTTTTTCAACACCAGGGACACAATCAGAGTCCTGTTACATAAAGTTATTCAGGAGATTGTTTCGGACCTTGTATCTGCTGAAAAGATCCGTGATTCCCTGTTGGGCAAAGAAGTGTTTGATGGTGAGTTCATCTCTTAGGGGGAGCAGTGCCATCCGGGACGGTTTAATCAGGCGAACAGAAGCAATTGTTCAGGCAATGAGATCATACTGACAGAGCTGTGCTGTGCTGCAAGAGTTTGTGCTGGAGTCATGTAATCTAAATGAAAAGAAAATCATTGTCATCTTTAATTGATTTCAATAGAAATATACTTAGCACTTTTTCTACACTGTCATAGCTCATGTGGTTTGACATTTAATTACAAAAATACACTCCTTGTGGTTTGGTGCTCAAGAAAATGGCTGCTCTCAGTGTCAAAAGATAAATAGAGTTGTTTTATCATCAGGTCTGCTCTTTGAAGGACACATACACGTACGTGGCTGCACACATGTCTGTTTGTGCTGCACTGTCCCTCAGTCAGCACTTAGATGTGCTCCATAGACTGCAAAACAATTTAGACATTCAAAAGGCTAATAAATTAATAATAGTGCTGAGCACAAAATGTTAGTTCCACATGACAGGGAAGAGAAAGTCTTGTTGAAGTGGGAAAATGATTTCTCACTCCCAACTAACATTTAGAGGCCTGGCATGTTGAATGACCTACTTAAGACATCTGCTCATCATGCTATTACCAACTCTGGATTTTTGTTGTCTCTTCTGTGTTGGGTACCTCAGCCATCACGCTGCATTTAGGAACCCATGAAGTGAGTGTGCCTGCTGGCTTTTTAACCTGCAATCATCTCTCCCACCCAGGGTGGTGAGGTGACTTTTAATCTGTAATTGCAAAGTATTGTAGCACATCATGTTTCGTGCTCTGAAATCTTTATGGCACATCTAATGTCACTAATGCACACTCCAAGGCAGAACCAGGACTTTGAACTTCTTTTTCAAAGGGGTGAAAATAATTAATCTGGAAAGATATTCTTTAAAATCACAATGAGATTACATAGCTGCCTTTGAGGACTGCGAGTTATAAAGCAGTGTTTGGGATGAGTCTTCAAAGAGTTAATTACTGCCTTCTGATGTTAGAAGAGAATATTAATAATGTCTAATTCATTAAGTGCCTTTTAAGATTTCACACAGCTGGAGAAGGGTCTCTCTGCAAGCTGGAGCCATGGAGCTTGGCCTGAAGAGAGGAGCAAAGACAGACCTCTAGGAGGCTCAAAATCGTATAAATAAATCTACATTTTATTGACAGTCAAAATTCAGGAAGGCTGGCCTACATCAAGATATCAAATGTGTTTCCAAAGAAAAGTTTTCAGCTGATTTGTTTTTTATTTATTTTTTTCCTTTTTTCATCATTGGTTCCATTTGCACCAGCTATTGTACCACCTCCACCTAACTGCCAGACCAACGCGGCCTGCGCAAGTGCAGGAAAAAAATGAACTAAAATTTTGGTCCTTCTGAAATCACAGCTAAAATTCTCCTGTGCTTTGGTAAAGCAAAGATGCACCCTGCAGCTTTACAGGCACACAGCCACGTGCTGCTGTTTTCTGCCATGGCCAAAATGAGCCACGCTAAAGAAGTGAGTCAGGAGCAACCAGGGAAGAAGACAATTATCTCTATAGGGCCTCTGCTGTGTTTGTTCCTGAAAGGTGTGTTGGAGAATGAGCCAAGGAGATGCCAGAAGAAACAAGTGCCTTTAAGGTAGTGACATACCATCCAGAGTGGCTCAGTTCTTTTCCCTGTGACACTCTTAAAGCCAGTCAAAACACCGTGAGTGACTGACGGTATCTAATTTCTCCAGCACACTCTGAATCTCTGAGGCATTTTAGCAGCTGAGGCCATCAGAAAACCAGGACGTGTGTTAAGACAGTCTTTCTATTTCATATTACAATGATTTCTTTTTGAAGTGGCTTTCTGTTTTTGCTTGAGGTTTCAATGAATCACATGTGGTTTCTTGACTGACTCACTCCTCATTTCTGTGTCACACGGTTTTTGGGAAAAGCTCTATTTTAATTTGAATTCTGTGTTCATACCTCCTAAAAGTGAAGGTTGTATCAAGGTTCATTCAGGATCTCTCTTTTTTTATTTTTAAGACTCCAGATGGCATGCTATATCAGTGAGCTTCCCCATGCAGAGGCAGTATCAGAGGCAGCAAGCATTGCTCTGCCTATTGGCCCTTGCTCCTGCAGGCTGCACCTGTTCTGGTGAACCTGAGGACTTTCACAGCTTTTGAGCTCTGAAAGCCATTCACAATTATGGCAGCTTAGTGCAGAGCTGTTTGCACTTTGCCAGCTGGTGCTCACGCTCAGTCCTGATCAGCTGTGGGGAGTGACTTGCTTACACAGGAAGGGATGGGAGCATTGTCCTCGGGTAACTCTGGCAAACAGAAAGCTGTGGGTCAGCTGTGGAGCAGGATGTGTTGATCACCTCCTCTGCCCAGTGGTCTGTCTCCACTGGTGGGTCCATCATCCATTTTCACCTTTTCTCAGTCTGTTATTGGAAACTTTTTCTATGTGAGAAATCAATGATGGCAAAACATACCTGGGAAAACCAAGTTTTTCCATCATTATTAATTAAGAGAAGTGGGGGAGAAAAAACCTGCTGCTTAGCGAGTTGTTGTGACCAGAAGTGTAGATCAGCTACTGGGGGCTTCAGTGGGATCCCAGCTCCTATCCTGTGGTAGGGAATGTGCCCACCCCCAGGCTGGTAATGATTCTCATCC